GCGGAGCGGCTGGTAGTTTCGAACTGCTGACCTTAAGGTTCGCAGCCCGATTCGTAACCACTACGCTACCAGAGCTCCTTAGATACTCAATTAAAACAAAAACAAAAAAGAAAACCAGCCTGGCTGAAGTTTTTTGCCAGGATAATCCTGAGTGTTCAAACTAAAAACTGGTAAAAGGAAAAATACCTAGACTCTACAAACGTCGCAGAATTTGTCTTAAATGGGAGAAAAAAGTTCTAAAAACACATGGGGTTTACTAAAAGATCTTTAACAGGCTACCTTGGGAGCTTAATTAAAAAATAGAGATTGCTCTACTAAAACAAAGATGTTTCACTGCAGCTCTGAAAACCTTTTATAAATACAGCCATCGTAAGGATGATCCTGGATCAGAAGAATTTTTATTCCTTGTATATATCATATGTGCATGCCTCATTTCAGTTGTCGTAATTATCTCTGTAATTTCCTCCAGAATAGCGGTCATAACCACCCTGGTTTCTGCCACTATAATCTCTGGACCTTCCAGATCCATATCCGTATCCTCCAGGTTGACTGTCATACCTGCTGCTCCCTTAGCCCTGGTCCCCACCTCCTCTAGAGTAGCTGCGACCACACCACGCCCATGAGCACCTAAAGCACTCCCTCTGGTTCCCCGGGCTGATTTGCCTGCATGATCCACACGGATCTGGCGACCATCCAGGGACTCTTCATTCATGGCTCGCGTGGCATCTGAAGCATACTCTGGATTGGTAAAGGTGATAAAGCCAAAACCCCGGGATCACTGAGTCTCTCGGTCCTTCACTACCACCACCTCAGAAATCGGTCCAAAGCTGCTGAAATGGTATTCCAGCCTGCTCATCGGTGTTGAAATTGAGACCTCCCAAAAAGAGTTTCCCTTCTTCATAAGACATGGCAGTGAATTTGGATCCTGGGAATTTAAAAATTGAACAGCCTCAGTAACAGCTAACGCTGAAGAGCAGAGAGAATGAGGAGGCTACCGCGGGGGAAGATGCTTGATAAAGCCCTCCGATCTCTTTTTGACCAGTCAACCTGGTCTTTTTTGTTTTGTGTTTTTTCTAATTTTGAGTTTTGTTTCACATTTTCTCCCGCTCCGTTCAGGACCCTCTAATGTGCTCTTTTTCTGAACATTTGGGTAGTGGTGGCCGGGCACTGTCTACTTCTTATCTCAGAGTCATGGCTACTGATGTTCACATGTTCCGTTAGTCCATCAGACTAATTGATTCCAAGCCTCTTTAGGTCTTATCGCTCTTCTTTGGAGAAGAAAAGTTTGAAATAACCATTTAAGCTGTGAGGATAAATTCACCAAAGAAATAGTTAGATTGCTGGACATGCTCTGGGCCATCTGATATTGGTATCTTGCATATATATACACAAGCAAGGTTCAAAATTCCAGTGTCTCTTTATTCCATTTTGCCATGAACTTTTGGAAATCCCCTTGCAACGTCTGGATTAGCCCCATGTGAACCTGGCTTAAGCAGTCTTCTTTACAAGCATTCAGAAAGGAAATCATTGAATTTGTCCAGAGTTCATTTTGCTAGAGTGCAAGGGAGAAAAATAATGAGGCCAAGAATATAATCAAATGATGGATGGTGATGGTAGGATAGAATGCAGGACAGAAGGAAGTGATAAAAGACAGGATTTGGAGAAGATGTCGTGTAGTCAATTAGTGGAAGTCCCCAGGAAATGGAGGAACTGTCACAGTGACAGTACTTGAGCAGGCAAAGTGCAGATTATGAAATACTTTTGTTGGATGGGATGCAATTGAATGCAGTAAGTAAGCTGTAAACTTGGAAACGTTATGGTGATACTGGACAGCGAGAAGGCACGTAGCCCCTCTAGGAAAGTAGGAAAGGAAGATGGGTTCCCATGTCCCTGGTAGTTCCTGGTTCTGTGCCTGAGATTAGACTGAACAGGTGCCAACAAATCAAAAGATTCTTAGAGTTGTTGCCATTCTCTTGCCAAGGTGATAGTGGGTGAGATTTGAGTTGCACGCTGTGCCTCTAGGCTGACTGGCTGGTGGTCTGCTCTCAGTCCTTTCATCATATCTTACATAGCTGGAAGTTTGTGATTTTACTTATGAAATGGTAGGATCTCATTCTTCTCTTACTTGCTTATTGTCCGGAAGGTATTTGCTCATGAGTTCTTTTCAAGTAACAGTGATATATTTGTATTGTTCTTGCTGTTAATTGCTGTTGAGTTGATTCTGACTTGTAGCAGCCCTGTATAGGGTTTCTGAGGAATGGCTGGTGGATTTGAACTGCTGACTTTGTGGTTCAAACCGACACTGCAGTCCAGTGTTTACCCTACAGCGCCACTTTTTTTTTTTTTTTTCGTTTTTTATTTATTGTGAATTATGTGATAGTTTACATGGGAGAACATTAGTTTTACATTCATTCTATTGTATATCGTTTCATTGCCATGGTTACAATCCCCTCCATGCATCATCAACCAAACAAAGGATACAGCACCACTATTGATTCATCAACATTCTCTTGCATTTTGACCCGTGTCATGTATTTGTTAGAGTATGGTTAGAACTGTACTGAGTGACTAGAACGAAAGCCGCTAACTGGCTGATGAGAACTGCTGATTGGGTTCCATCCTCATGCTTTCAGTATTCCCAAACCTATCTTACTGCTATGGAGTCCATTGTGATTCATAGTGACCCTGTGTAGAGCTTCTGAGGTGGTAAATCTGTACAGGGAACAGATAGTCATATCTTTTGTTCCACGGAGAAGCTGGTGAGTTAGAACTGTTGACCTTCTAGTTAGCAATCCAATGCTTATTCTACAGTACCACCAGCACTCCTTAAACTTTCAATAGGAAGATTCCAAATAATAGTAAACAAAAAGGCAAATAAATGAATAAATCAAGAGAGCCACATGAACGCTAAGTGTTAAGATTCCAGTACAGTGGTATATGTATATGAAGGGAGTCTTGGTGTAGTACTGTGAGTTAATGCGAGGGACTGCAAAGTTGTTTTGAACTGCAAGGTCTGCAGTACCAATTCACCAGCTGCTCCTAGGAAACCCCATACAGGGTCACTATGAGTCGGACCCAACTCAATGACGCTTAACAACAGTGTTAGGTGTCATATGTGTGTTATCTATGTGTATTATGTGCAGACCCACTTGTTTGTATTTATGTGTATTTGTTTTATGTGCTGATCTACTTGTTTGTATATGTATTATGTACATATGTGTATTATGTATGTATGTGTATTATGTACGTATGCGTATTATGTGCAGACCCACTTCTTTGCAGTTACAGTGGCAGTTGAATGGAAGTTCTCTTTGAGAAATAAAAACTTAGCTGGGCTAAGTGAGTTCTACCAACCTGGAGAGATGGGTGATGGCAAACAGCGAGTCTCCTGTGAAGGGACTTTTTGCATAATGAGCTCAATGTACTCAGTGTCCTTTAGGGAGATCAGGGAATGGGATCTTGGGAAGATGACTGGTTGGTGGTTGTTCATCAATATATGTGGAGAAGGCCCAAAAGTTTTCACCCACACCCTCAGAATCTAGGGTGATGTTGTTGTTATGTGCCGTGGAGTTGGTTCCGACTCATAGCGACCCTATACAGGATTTCCAAGGCTGTAAATCTTTATGGGAGCAGCAAGGCTCATCTTTCTCCTGCAGAACTGCTGGTAGTTTCGAACTGCTGACCCTGAGGTTCGCAGCCCAATTCATAACCACTATGGTCCAGTATATTTCTTACTTCTGAATTATAAACAGTTAGAGGTTGATGTTTAATGAATACCAGTGGTTTGAAGACAAAATAAGTTTGTTTTAAAAGGCAGATATTATTTAACTAGTAGACAAAGGGACATGTAAAATCCAGATTTTTAGATAATGTCTGCTATGTCCATAACCCGATGTTATAGTGAAACTTTTTGTTTGGATTTATTTGTACATTTTACTGAAAGAAGCAGAATCTATGTGAATCGCCTGAGGTTCCAAGCAAGTTTAATACTAATTACCAACAAAAGTACAGTTAGCTTGTGGTCTGAGTATAAATGTTTTAAACAGCAAGAGCCATCTTCTGACCAGACACCTTTGCTGGCCTTTGATTTCGTATCTGGAAAATGTTTCTTTTCATTGGCTAAAGGCAAATGAAATCAGGGCATTGTTTCACAGCACGTTGGCAGAGTGATTCAAAGTTGCCTTCTTTTCTTTGTGCATAAACATGTAGATTTTTCTAAGGCAAAAATCTGTTTCTGACAAGTTGCTGCAAATCAGAATGTCACCATGATTGGGACTGTGCCCTCTGGAAACATTTGGCTTGGCGGCATTTTCAGACTGTTGTGATCATCTGTTTTATCATGAGAAGTAATCTTTTGCACTTTCCTGTATGTAGACTGGTGATGTACATCGAGAGAGACAGCAGAAAGACCACTCCAGGCAAGGAGCAGCAGAGCGGCAATGAATACCTATCCAAGTGCCTGGATCTCCTCATCCATCACATTGTGCAGGAACTGCCACGCATCCTGGGTAAATTGGAGGCTCTTCCGCAGGCCTCATGGCTACTTGCTTTTCTGCAACATCACTGCACTTGTTTTCTTTCCTTCCTTGTCTGTTGTTGCAGGCAAGTTCAGTAACAATGTGGCTTCAAGATGCAAATTTACCTGCTCTGTCTTCAGAATTACTTCTCATCAGTGAAATAAGTGAGGAAGAGAGCAGGTTACAAGTTACAGTGACACGCTGTTTTAATTGCTCACAATGGTATCTTCACTATTATTTTCAGTATTTTCTCCCAAAGATTTCTCTCTGCCTAATTCTGAAGGAATTTTTTTTTTCTCTCCAAATTTGAACCACAAATGTATTTATTCTGAAAAGAATCTTAAAATGCAAAGACATTAACATGTACTGTTAAATAATTTTGATGTTAGTTTTAAGTGTAAAAACTTCTTTAGTTTGAAAAACTGTCTTCAGCATAAACATATCAAAGGATATTAGTTACATCTTAAAAATCCTTATTTGATTGTTGTTTGCATCATCTAAAGAGTATGTATATTTGCCTTAAATCCCATTCCATGTTTTTCCAGCAGATGTAGCTATAAACCAGAGATATTTAACATGTTAAATTTGATTCAAGGCATTATAGTAAAATATACTTAGATTTCAGAAATTCAGACAATGAATACAACAGAATGAAAAGATTTTCAGGGCCAATTTGTAGTACCCTTTGCTCTATGCTAATTCTTTGGAGGTTGATTTGTTTGTGGTGCTTTAGGATAAGCACTTGACCACAAGGTCAGTTTGATCTGCAAGGTTGGTGGTTCAAACTCACCAGCCGCTCCTTAGGTACCCTATACAGTGTCACTATGAGTCAGAGCTGATGCTATGGCACTTAACAACAGCAAGAACAAAATGCCTGAAAATAGAATGAGCATGTCAAAGTTTGTTTTAGATTGTGTCCATTTTTTAACTCGAACCTAAAGGTTATGATCTAGTCAATTGGTAGTTGTTGAGTTCTTTATTATCAGATGCATTCTGTCTTATGATATAAATGATAAAATTCCACAGAACTCTACAAAACAAGTTTTCTTCCCAACGAACATTTGAGGAAGAGTTTTGCGAATTGATCACTTTTCTATTCTGTTTTTCACAAAGTTAGCATTTTTTCAATGATTTTCTTTCCTGCTTACAAAAGTGACTAAGTGTTCATAGTTGATATTTGGAAAATATATTAAGAAAAAAGAAAAAGGAAAAAAAATCATGTCTAAAATCACTACTTTACCGTAACCATTTATGAGTTCTGTTTTAAATTTCTAGGTGAGAGGCCAAGTTAATTGATAATGTATATCCAAAAGTGGAGTCCTGGTGTGGTGCTGTAGGATAACCACTCAACGGCAAGGTTGGATTGAACTCCTAGGTTGGCAGTTCAAACCCACCAGTTGCTCTTTGGAAACCCTATACATGGTTGCTATGAGTCAGAACCAACTCAATAGCACTTAACAACAACAACAAAAATGAAGCCTATCACCTTCTGTCCTAAGTGTCCACAATTGTTATAACGTGAATACTTGTGAAAAATTGTCACAGAGTCTACCTATTTCTTTTATTTCCACAGCATCCCCATCAGTGTCAACATCTGGTAGACACCAATTGTTGTTATTGTTAAGTGCCGTGGAGTCAGTTCTGACTCATAGCGACCCTTTATAGGGTTTCCAAGGAGAGGCTGGTGAGTTTGAACTACCGACCTTGCAGTTCAAACTGACTTTGCAGTCCAGTGCATCACTCAACACTGCCACAACACGAGTCCATTCTGCCTTTATAGCCCCCTGTTTTTGATAGCCAGCATCTAAAATTCCTGTCAACCAAATACACTGAGGAGACAACATCTTCCTTGATATGAAGAACCTTCCATTCTGGTTGGAATTTCGAGCAGCAGCATCCATAAGCACAAGTCCAGTCCAACAAATAGTAGCATTTGTCACTTGCTCACGGTTTCAGACATCTTTCTTTATCCTTATCTTGTCAGGTTCTGGGCAGCTCAACCCTAGCTGTCCAAGGTATGTAAGTACTCGTATTTGATGTCTTTAACCTCATATGTGTTCTGGGGTGTGCTTCCCAGGTGACATTCTTAACGCCTTGGCTAATGTTTCTGGTCGTAAACACCCATCAACAGTGCAAGTGAAGCAGCTGAAGATATGTCTCCCTCTGATGCCTGTTGTGCTTCACCTGGTCACTTCTCAGGTACTGTTTTACTAGGGATAAAAAGACTATAAATCTGGCTCCTTTCTTTGTAAACTAGAACTGAGAATGATTTAACTCCAACAAAACGCTTTCATTTTTCTCCTTCTCTTTTTCTTGAGCTAAAATTGTCCCTGGCTGTCAAGATTTAATCTCTGGTAACTCTCATCTTACAGGTATTTCGTCCTCAAGTTGTAACAGAGGAGTTCCTTTTCAGTTATGGAACTATTCTCGTAAGTAACACCCAGTTTCTCACATCCCTTATAAAAATGTGTCTGTTTCTACAGTTCTGTGGAACTGTGTCAAGATGTGGTCATTTTAAAATCCTATTGGTATTTATTCATCTCTAGGGAGTGACCTTTGTGTATTTTTATCTGTTGACTGTAATACAATTTGACATTTGGAGAAAAATACATTCTCTTCTGATAATGTACTTTGTTTAGAAAGACCCCCAAATAGGGTAAATAAGTCCATAGAAATTATTCAATAGATTTTGGTACTAAAAATCCTGAAATAAAATTTTAAGTAATAAAACTTATGCAACTGGAGTTTTAAGATTATTTTACCATTGTTTCTGTTGACTTATATTGTCTGCCATGTGCAGTGTATTTTTATAATGACATTTCTTGAATTATAGCTCAATTTAATTTAAAACAATTATTTGAGTGACAGTGTAGCAATGAAATCCAAATCATTATACTATCTTTTACTCAGTCTTTGGTCTTTATGTTGAGATTATCACTCATAAATGATACTATCTTTTCCCTTGTCTGGAACAGTGGCTGTCTATGTGGTTGATAAAGTGGTGATCTCTCCACAAGGGAAAGCTAAGACATTTGTCACACTGCATCTCCAGTCTCACTTAGATATTGATAATAAACGCTCAACTGAGATTTCAGAAATGCCATAGAGGTCTGCAGTTAAAATAAAGTAGGCTTCTCAATTTTATTGTTAGCATGGAATAAAAAAAGATTGCCACTGATAAGTGGGTATGTTGTTTCCTAGAAGGTTCATCACAGGGCAGAGTAAGACCCTGTAAAGTACAGATGTGGAGTGTAGGTCCTGTCTGTTATGAAGTATTGCGTTCAGGCAACGCATTTATGTGTTGATGTTTGGGTGCCTCAGATCCGGAGTTCTGGAAAGTATATCATTCTGGTAACACGTGCATGAATTTGCATGTTATTAAAAATTCATCTGTAACCTTCTTTAATTTACTTGGTGTCATGGGCTTCACTTTTGCATGATTATACTTCTGCCTGTATAATTCTATTGCACTGACATACTGATGCCTGAACACAGTGATTTGGACCTTGCACTTCACCTTGGAATTCTTTGGCACAAGGTTGGTTTGTGTGGGGATAAATATATTTGCCCTGTGTTCCTTATTTCTTCCTTATTTGTCTTACGTTTACTTAGGACCTTTTAGGTTTTCTAAGAATACTGAATGTCTCCACCGTTAAGGTCTTTATGGACTTGCGTAGCCATGCTCTGAGACAGGGGATGAGGCCACCCCGAGGAAGGGCCAGCTCACCGTCTCTCAGGAGTCAGCCTACTCTTTGGTGGGAGAGGAGAAGAGGAGAGGGAGGGAGATGTGTTCTGTAGGATCTTTTTAAATGTAGGCACTTTTAGGGAATGAAAAATACTCTTCTTGGTTCAAAGGTCATTTGATGTAGTAGAAATAGCTTTAGTAGTGTTTGTCTCCAGTACTTTCAAACGGGGAACTAAACCACATGAAGGGAAAAAGACCTCTTGGCTCTTTTCATGCTATTTTCCTTGTTAAGTCATCAACAGTTCTCAGAATTCTTTCATTATTTTCCTTATCTTATCTGTGTTTGACCTTACCTGTGAATTTAGCTTTCTTATGCTCAGTGTTGATGGCACTAATGAAATTTAGTAGGAAAGGGTGAGAATTACCAAATAAAATTCAGAATTTTGATTTAATCATCTTCACATGCTTGTACGTGGTATTGTAAGCTTTGAGGAGTTTGTTGCTTCTGAGTTGACTCATAATCTATCCAGGAGATGCCAAAAGAATTATCCAAATCCCAGTGCCGTACTGAGGTCATGAACAGCCAACTCATCCAATACCCCACAGATCCTTAGAAAGTCACAGTGCAGATGAGCTTCTTGTGTTCACTGCTTTAAAAGCATTGCTTTTGATTTTCCTTATATAATGCCTTCCTAAGCTTATTGGAAAGTTAACTTCTTAATTTAGTTTAGACTGCACAGCTATTATACATATTTGGGAAACCAGTCCACAGAACATGAACCTGTGAACCAGTCCCGAGCACTTGTGGTTTTCTGTTCTGCTTCTGTCTGGTGAGATGAGGAGGCAGTCCATTCATCTGTAACATATTGGCCCATTTGGAGATTAAAAAAAATAAATAAATGTTTTCACTACTACCAGGAATGTATCTGGTGTAGCAGCTAGCTACTGCATTGTGGCAGGTATGTAGTTTAAAAATAGGTCTTAATTTGAGATTTTCAAGGATAGTCCATTTTTATCAACTGTATCCAGTAGCGTCAGGATGTTGCCAGGATCTTTCTTGGGCTTCCTGCTAGCGCACCTCTCTCCGAGCTGTTGGCCTCATTAAGGTGGGTAGGGAATAAGAGGTTAGAGTTGCTCTGAACTCCACTCATCATAAGGGTCCTTGAGCAGACAAGCGCCGCACATGCATGTGAAAGTTGGACAATGAACAAGGAAGACCATAGATGAAAAATGGATGCATTTGAATTAAGATGTTGGAGAAGGATATTAAAAGTACCATGGACGGCCTGAAGAATAAACAAATCTGTGTTGAAAGAAGTACAACCAAAATGCACCTTAGAAAAAAAGATGGTAAAACTTTGTCTTATGTACTTAGGACATGTTATCAGGAGGGACTAGCCCCTGGATATCGTGCTTGTTAAAGTGGAGGATCAGACAAAAAGAGGAAGACCCCCAA